GAAACGCAAAATCTGCCGGGACACTGCCTTTAAAGGGTTTGTGAAAGTCGGCGCACTCGCACCCCATCACTCTAAGCTTCATGAGCATTGTTGGAAAAAGACTTGTTTCCCTTCTAAAAGACAAGTTTTGTGATGTACCGTACAATTATGCTCCCACTGTTGCCTACAATTTTTTTTAACGAGCGATCTGCGAAACATGATGCAGAGCCCTTACCGCAATCGCTCATCTACAAGTAAGCAATGTTTTTTAACCAACAGAAACACCGTCATAAGCATTTGTCACTGGTCAATCGCATGTCTACCATATGCAGTTGAGGGTAGAAAAAACGCATACCGTTAGAAAGCGCCGTTTTCAGGCATTTACCTCACGTGCTGTTGCATGCTATTTGAGAGACAGGAATACGCGAAGGCGGCTTCTAGTTATAGTAACAGTAAGATATTAATTTCTCTATCAACCTATGCCATCACTCTAATCAGTAGCAATTTTCATGCTGAACCATGTCAGTCTAGAGGTGACATTTCTTCCTAGCGGATCTTTACGCTACAGCACTGCAGTAAATGTGCAGATGAAAGTTTTGAAGACCGCAGTGCGAGATAGAGTCCATGCAAAATGGACTTATTACTATTCGCTCGACGGTATTCGAACATGCTATTGGAACAAGGAAAAAAGAAGTCTTGTTGTTCCTCTCTGGACTCTAGGGATTTATTTGCACACATTGCTTAAGAATTTATAGATGGGGGGCGCAAAATTGCATTCCACCGAGCGATCGGAACTGCAAAGCTTATATTTGTTTATGGCTATGCCACTTTGTAGTTATCGCAGTTTCTTTAAGCATCATGAGCGTTGATTGAAAGTAAAACTTGGCAGCACGAAAGCATCAAACATATTAGTCACTTTTCAGATAAACGTGACAGTCAGAAGTTTTGGCTGCTCGCTTAAACAGGACAATGGAGGAGTCTTGATGACTTGTACGTTGGACTGCGGCAGGGAATGGTTTTGTGGTCAAAAGAGTAAAGAAGAAAAATCGAGTAAACGGTAGTGAATGAATGCCATGAATGTCTATCTAGGCAAATCCTCTATCTTGTTACAAATCAACATCAAAAATCGCGCATTCAGGAGTCGTGAAACCACTCAGGTTCTCAAGATAGTGAACGGGTAAAGGGGCACCGTTAACACGTTGACGACAACACGACCCACCTGTGTGGGTCGTACTTGTCCTGCCATTTCGGACAATACGACCCACCGGTGGGTCGTAAATTTTCGAAAGAACTTTGTCAGCATGCGATGGAATTCTACGGGATTCTGGCACATCATTGGGGACACCTTGGCGAGGCTCTAGCCGGAGTGGTCCGGGTTCGGGATACTGTAATGTAATGTTCGGTAGGTATACTGTAGATGGAGGTAAGGCACAGATTTTAGCTCAAATTTCTCGCAAAGTGGTGCTGTTTTTGACAGTTCAAGTTTACGTGCACAAAAATACAGGGTGAGGACGAGACTGATGTCAGCCCATCAAAAATTATCGATTTTATTGATTTTTCGCTTGTTCATCCCAGGAAGCCCAAAAGCTTGCATATATAGGTTTCTTAGCATGATGATTACGAAAATGATAGTCTCAAGTTCTAATACCGCCTTCTTACATCAGTTTCTTGATTCCGAAAATTCTATCGTACTGCTACCGTAGTCCCACTGTGGGAAAATAGTGAACAAAGTGGAACTATAATCGTGATCAGCATGTGCAATAACCCCAAAACACAATTTTTCACAAAAATCCGTGATGTTGGGTTCGTACAGAGTGACTACCGTAATCTTACCCTATACTGCCAAAAACTGAAACAAATCATATTCTGATAATCAGCGCCTTCGATAACCCTTGTGGGGATATTCTCGGAGACATGTTTTGAATTTCTTCCAAAAAGGCTACCATTTCGGACAATACGACCCACGGGTGAGTCGTAAGTTTGGCAGAGCAAAAAAGGCTCCTGTCCGAAATGGCGATAATCGAAAAATCGGCCTTGTCGTCAATGTGTTAATTACTAACGAATCACTAGTAACTCAGGGATTCTCGCCGTTCGAGTAGCCCTACAGTAGGCACTAATGTACAACCGACAGACATAGATCTAAAGCTTCCGTGCCGTTGCTTCCGGCGATCATTATAGGCCGTCCGCGCAGGGCGCGGAGAGTGCGCAAGATGTATGTTGCGCGTAACTCCTCTTTCCTCGTACACTCCCGCCACCTGTTTTCTCTGCGCTGCTTCCAGTCGTAAACTGCCTCCAATATACGCAACAGCGTTGCTCTCCGTACGCAGCGCGGATGGCCTATACCAGATTCAAGCGTGGGGTGTGGCACGCTACATCTGCTCACATACTCAGATAATCGCCGGGGGCAAGCGGTCCGCAAATTCGCGCTTTTCCGCAGGCGGTCAGCAGTTTTGGGACGTGGTCAGACCTTCAGCATACATGTGAAAAGGGGATAATGTGTTCCTACCCCCTTCACTCCTGAGCCGGGACCCAGCTGGACCCCTTCATCCACGGCCGATGAGAACTGGAAGTTGTGAGACTAAGAAATTAACATTTTAAGCAAAATTATAAAACTAGCTGCATTATTAAAACTAAATTTAGTACATATTGATTCTAAATATTATTATTATGATTGTCAAAAACTTATTTGCAGGTCTACTGACAGCTTCGGAGATGTGGCGCCTAGTGCTTACGTCTAGATATGAGAAAAAGCTTGAAGAAAAATTTACGTGTCTTCGTGTATATTTGTCAATGAAGTTATTCACGTATTTGCTAAAATGATAAGTGGGATAGATGAACTTTGATGATCGGTGCGCAGTTGAATTGCATTTTTTTGAAGAGGAATGAATTTTCTAAGCTGATGGCGGAATTCGTAAAATGTCATTGATTGATTCCTTAAAGAGTCATTGTTCTAACTTTTGATATTATTTTTAAACTCTGACAGAGATGCTAACGTTTGCGTAGAGAAGAAGGTGCAACTAAGAGCACGTATTATACCGAAGATTTAGTGTAATCAAGGTTAGTGTTACTGTCAAAATGCATTAGCTACGAGGATCATGGAGTTCTACAATCCGCCTACTTGGACGATGATATGGATGAGGAAGGACAGCCAGGAGTGCATTGTTCCACGTTGGAGCACTATACAAGAAGAAGAGGACAATTGTATATGATTACTGGCGCTTGATTATTCTGAAAAATTTTTGTTTTCCATCGAAGAAGATTGAGAAACTTAAAAGATCTTATTGTTAGGAGGAAACTCTACATAATTAGCCTAGTCTAATTTAAAAGTTTAGTTTCCATCCGCTTCCAAAAATCATACAGCTTGCCAGGAAAAAAAGGAATTTTCCCTATTAGGTAGAGATAGTTTCAATCATTCTTTCAAAACCGATGACTAATTTTTCTATTAAAAATTGTAACTTTTCCATATGAGAAGATAGGAGAGACTCTAGCTAGATATTGGATTACTCTCGTTGAAAGCTTTCAGGAAACATATAGCTTGCCAGGAAAGAAAAGATAGGGTGTAGGGTGAAGGTGGTCATAATTATTTTTCTAAAATTAAGGAAAATTTTTTTATGTAAAAATATGATTTTGGTGGCGGGCCACGTGGGTGGAAGGATTTTTCCACAGAACAACGAAACTTTACTAGCATAAATAACAAAACAAAACACTTGAAAAACAGAGTCTGCCTTGTTGGCAGTACAAGGAAAGACAGACAAAAAAAGAACAGAAATAAAAATAATGCGGCCACCCCCGCTCCCTGTCGACACCAACCACGAACTCCTGAACAAAACAATCGACAAGCGCTCTTGGCGCGCGTAGGTCAAGTTATCCGATAATCTATTTGATCAAAACGCTCCTTCTTCCTTAAGCCCTGGCCATACCGTCGAAAAAATCACCGCGATGCGATTTGTGCAATCGGACAACTGCCATACCTCCTATTCCATGCCGGCAAATTATGCATATCGGTCGTGCTAGCTGTCCACCGCGACGGATCGCAGACCGTGTTTTCCTAGGCCATACCGATTCCAGCGAAATCGTCGCGATTTGGCCGAAATCTTGCGATATCGCGTCGCAACTTTGAAACCCGCGACGGGGCGATATCGCTGAAATTGGATTTCTTCACTGATTGTTTTTTGGAACAATTCTTTTTCTTTTCGACATGTTTCTTGGTTGAGATGTCAGATTTTCCTACTTTGCACCTCTTTCGTACTGTGATGCCGTCGTGCTTCTAATTGTGCCATCACTTGAAGTAGATATCGATATGTATCTGTATTTGTTCGATTCTTCTAAATGAGTAACGCATGCAGTCCGCTTCTTGTTTACACTTTTAACTCAAGTGTTGCGCAGTTTCAGCATGTTTTATTGTTGTTGAGGTCATTTACGGGTACAGTTATATCAGCTGAGAGCCTGTTGAGCTGTGTTATAGGGTTTTTTAAGAGCTTATGAGATGCTGATTTACATTCGAAGTTTTTTTGGATGTTTCAGCTGTCATAGTTTTCAAAATGCTTCACTTGTGTTCATTATTTCATCGAATTCCAGATTTCATGCCTATGTATTTGTGAGGATGGACACACGTACGCTGTATTTCACCATGAGATTGGTTCGATGGTAGACAGTCACGACCGAATTCTAGGGCACAGCGCGTAAGCATGTGGTACAGAGGAGTTTCCTCACATCTATCTAGTTCAGACTGGACGGTATAGCTGTGAACTACAAAGGTAATCTTCTCATCATTTGATTGCAAAGTTTTCACTTCGTGCAGCCTTCCATCTTTAGGGTCCTAGGTTAACATTTTTGTCAAAGTCGCATGCTATGTGTGATATCGCATGTTCGTGCACGGTGATCATTTCTATGGACGCCGAAAGCGACGTAAGTTCATAAAATTCGTAGCTCAATATGCGCATTTTGGCTTGCTTTACTTCCAGCTGTTCTTTTTGTGGATCTTTGATAGCGACAAAGAAGATCCATCCGCGCGGATGATTGTTGATCAAGAAAGTTTTCAAGAAAATTGTGCCTGACCCGAGAATGGTACGTGATGTGCTTTTTTTTCGATTTTCCAGCTTCAAAATGTTTTTACATATAGGCTAAATCATTGTGTTAGTGACCGCCAAGGTAACCTCCAGCTATCTAATGGTCGTCAAAACATGTACGTATTGAGAAGTGAAGAACGGATGAAATGTGCCAATTCAGTTCTTCAGGTGCTAATTTGTATTACTACTTTTTTTCTTACAGTGTGGTCTTAACGTTTTCATTGTCACTTTTTACTTTATTTTACATTGCAAACATTGCACCGACACAAAATTGTTTGATTTTCTTCCTGCCGCCACTCAACGGTCAGCCAGCTGTCGGCGTTTCGTTAACCGCACGGACTCGACATTACTGCGGAATACGCGCCGCGAGATAAAGCGCTTGCCCAGTACAAATTCGCTATTGTACACGTCGTGCTCTCACAGCATTTCAGCCAACCTGCGCGTGGCCCGCAGCGTTTGTACAGTCCATGCGGTCAGCGAATCGACTATACATTTGCTCGCTCCCTCTCAAACTAGTGTTCCAGCCATCAAATTTGCTAATTTGCGCATATATATCATCCTAGAGTCGGTGTCAATTACGTACTCCCTGTTGCATGTCTTGCGTGCGTGGGTATTGTTTATGATAACTTTGTCCGACTTGTTTCTAATTCATCTACTGTCTCGACCCCATAAAGTTTACACTTTTCCTAGATGAACTTTTCAACTTTCATGCTCATCTTTCGAGAAATTGTTGATACTTGTATACAAAGTGGTACAAAATAAAGCTTTCTACACCATCTCTCTCTATCTCATCAACTGCAGTTTTTACTTTTTGACTTTTTTAGTTTTGCAGACATGCTCGCATTTTTAGTTGCACGATGGCTGCGAAGAGCGCGCTTCTTGACACAAAACAAATTTGCTCGGAATGTAAGTGTGCACATTACACAACTTTCAACGCTATGCAAGTGACGCTCAGAAACTTCTGCCTGGAGAAACAAAGGAAGTGCATTTGTTGTTTGAGTGGCCATCTATTCGCATTTTTCCGTTGTTCGTCAATTACAACACAATATGTCGCCATAAGCACAAAATCTCAAAATCGACTTCCTGCGAACACTGCGTTTAAGTAGCTTGATGTTGAGTAACTTGAGTTGACCGAGTGCGATAACTTGAAATTGTTTATGCTGGTCATCATCAGTCTGGCACAAGCCTTCGGCCCCAGTGGAGTGCTAGCATGCTAACTTACTACTTGATCTATCAATTTTGCGTTTGATAGCCTCCATTCACAGTTTTATGAATGGAAGTTAAGTCTTCATAAGCATTAGCTCAGGTATTACATGACGATTCATGATGCAACACCTGTTTGTTTCTTTGATTCTTTACTTCCAATCTAAGGGACCCTCATCAAATTCTTCACTGCGAAGCCAAAAAGACTCCTCAACATCGGCATAATTAAAAAACTACCCGCGGCTGCAGCACAATGACGAAATATTTCCTTGAGCAGGCGGTATAAAAGTTCTCGTCTTTGACGTCTTTGCAAGCACCGGAATGCTCTGCGCGCCGTGCTCCTCCTAGCCATTTACAACAGTTGATCGAATCAAACAGTGGATTATTAACATTGGAGTGTGACTATGCGTCTATGTTTTGATACCATCATTCATAGGCAGGCGGATCCATCAAATCAGCAAACCAAGGTAAACCAAGGTGAGTACTGCATAAAGGTCTACGTAAGATGTGTGCTTAAATGTGCACTTGCACCCAATCGTTGGACGGTATGGCCAGAACTCGCGATGAGCGATTTGATAGTCGCGATTTCGTCGCTACAATCACGAAATGCTTCGGCGACGAAATCGCGACGATGAAATCGCCGAACGTATGGCCAGGGCTTTACACGCCCCTCCTTGAAAAAGTCACCTCCGGGGACTTGTCCGTGGTACCGTTCTCGCTGCTTCATGTTTGGTGCCTGCTCCATTCGTTTCGCTGCGGGGTTTCGGAGATACACGATTTCCGGTTCCTGGTCGTTTTCCTTCTCTTCGCTTCGGGTTCTTCTCCATAAGTTCCTTGTAGGCTGCTCGCATCGTTCTTCTTCCTCTCTCGTAGTTTGAATGTCGGTAGTCGTAGTGTACTTGAAGACAAAGCAGCTTGTCGAAATCCAAGGCACGTCGCGGGATTCAGTTTCTGGATCGCGTCTTCCATTGGTCCATGGCGATCCATCTCCTTAGCGTCGTCTGCTAGCGCCACGTTGGCAAGTTCCTCGCAAATACCGCATTCGCAAGGATGAAAACAGTGTAGCAAATCCACCGACTCTCCGACCTGACCCTGCAACACGAAACTTTAGAGTTCGAGTTTGCAACTTTTCTAAGTCTACCCCTTCTTGCTTTGCCCTTAGTTGCTCTTACAGGCTTATTGTCAGCATTCTGGGGCTTACTTAGCTGATACGGAACGCGCTCAGGCTTATCATTCGCCTTTATCCGTTTAATTGAGGAGCTACTACTTCCCCTCAATCTGTTTACTTCAGAAGGCCCTGTCCAAACGTTGACCAATTTAGGTTGTTCTGGTGGAGCTTTCTCCGTAGGCACCTTAATAACCACCCGGTCGCCTGAAGTCAACGGTCTCTCGTTGACTTCTCTGAAAGAGAATTCCTGCTTCCGCACCGATTCATTTCTATTTTCCCTTGGTCGCTGAAGAGCACGAGGCACTCTTCTCTGCGGATTTGATGTGGTCCACTCTACAACTTTACCGACACGGTATGTCCTTGGTGCCAATATATTGGTGACGGAGCTTCTTACTGCACCGTTTGCAGCGTTGCAATGTGAACCGGGAACTAATGCCATGCTAGACCGCAACACCTGTGCCCGTCGGGTCTGCTTAATCAGCTCCACTCCTTTGCTTCCACCAAGTCTGCTGTAGGCACATGCAGCTACTTTACCCTGCCGCGATTCCATAACCTTCTTGGGATTTCTGGCACGCTTGCTATGCCATTCCCCTTGTTGGTCTGGTGGTTTTCGTTCGCCCTTGCAGGGCTGATCTCCTCTGCGGATCGAATAGCCGAGTGCGTGCAGGATATTTGTCCCCAGCACTACCCTTTATCTCCTTTCTTTCTAACAAAGAAAGCAGCTCGGCATCGAGGTCCGTTGTGCATTTTTAAGGTCAGAAGGACGGCACCTTCAAATCTCATCAGATTGCCGGAAGCATCGTAAACTGGTGGATATTCCTGTCGCGGAATCTGTTCCACATCTCCATCTATGTCAGATCCTTTTTGTTGTGCTGTCAACAGCAAATCGAGAGGCATAATGCTGATTTATGATCCAAAATCTACCAGTGCTTCCCTTTTCAGGCCAAGAAGCTTCACCGTTTCTAGTGTCTGGCTGCCCACTAGATCACTAGCTTTCTTCCTTGCAACAGTACTGCATGCCCAGTGCCGCAGTACGGTGGAAAAAGATCCTGCATCACGTTCATTCGTGGCGTCGCCTCTGTCTCTTTGTGACGCCTCCCTTAAACCCCTGGGAGTGCACTGGATGGTTGGGGTTTCCTTGCAATCCCTTCTAAAATGTCCAGGCTTCTTGCAGTTGTAACAGAGCAATTCTTGGCCCTTTGATCCTTTCTGCTGCATGTGCTGATTGGGGTTTTCTTGACCTGCGCGTTCTTGGTGCTCCTTTTCCACTATCGTTTGACTCATGTGCTCGCGCCCCTGTGTCGCTTGTTGTCCTCGCGGAAGCCCTTTGAGCTTGCTTGTGGCCTCCTGCTTCAACAGCAGTGCCATTTCCCTACTCCTTTCTATCCGCTGTGCAAGGGCTTTGAGCTTCTCATAGGCTTCTTCCGCGGGAGTTTGTCCCACCTCTGTAAAGAGTTGAACATACTCCGGCCAGTCCGTGAGCTGTGCAATCAGCTCTCCGGTGCGCAAAATGGAAAGCTCCCTTTCCGACGATTCGGGGTATGCTGCCCTGGTCAGCTGTTCCAGCCGAACACAATACTCCGAGATACTTCCGAAGTATGTTTTTGCTTTACATTTACGATCTGCCGTCATGCATTCCCCATGATGTACATTGCTCTATATATGCAGGTGACACAAAACTCTACTGCTACGACGACCCTAATCTGATGCAGCGCGCCTTGGATGCGGTAGAGAAGTGGTCCGACAAATGGGAGCTTGACATTTCTGCGGAAAAACCTTTATCATGGCCATTGGACGTGCACATCCCCAGTGTTCCTTTCGTATTGGGACGCATGAGCTTCAAACAGTTAGCAGCGCCAGGGACCTTGGTGTGACCTACTCTGACAAACTAAAGTTTGAGAAATACATACGAGATGTTGCCGTTGCCGCTCACGCCAGGTGCATTTACATCCTTCGTGGGTTCAAAACTACTAATGTAAAAATTCTCTTTCGCCTTTTCGTCATCTATGTTCGTCCTCTTTTGGAATATTGCACTCCACTATGGTCTACCTCTGAGCAAACCCTTACGGAAATTATTGAAAGAGTCCAGAGATCGTCCACTGCCAGAATTTTTGCCCGAGCTGGAATATTCCGATTGTCATACAAATCTGGGCTCTCTATTCTAGCCACCATTACTCTTGCGTTTAGAAGAACCCTTTATGACCAAAACCTTGTCTACAAAATAATGACCAACAGGATTGGGAACGCAAGATTTTTTCAGTCTATCGAATTTCAACAATTACACTAGAGGACACATGTTCAGGCTTGTAGTAGGGAAAGTGAGGAACCAGCAATACTATAATTCTTTCCTAGTGCGTGTTATCAAAACGTGGAATGTGCTCTCAATGGAAGCTATCACCGCGAGATCTACATTCGTTTTCAATAGAGAAGTTCAAAAATCTCTGAAATCACAGGGGTTATTCTGACTACCATTTACCAGGAAATTTTTTGAGATTTCGACGTTTTCTTTCTCCGCAACGAATTCTAACTGATGTATGGTTTGGTCTCCCAGAAGGCGAAATTTTTCGTTATGTTCGATGTTTTTATTTCTGTTCCCCTAATCAAGAATCAAAAAAAACGTATCTACCTCCAGTGATTCTCTACCATTTTGTATTGCAACTCTCTCGAATTATCCTTTTTCTTTGCTACAGTGTTCTTCCTGTGGTCATTTCGATCTTTTTTCTTGGTGATCATTCCCCTCTTCCGAGGGTTTTATTGTACTTTTCCCTTCTTTCTATGTCTTATTGTCCTTTCGAAAACCTTCAAAACCTTTATTTTTTCTCTCTGGGTTATGGCCAGCTAGCCTTTGCAGGCGGGCTCGCTGGCCCCCAAACAGGGGGTATCGTTTTCGAAAGACGTGTAAGATTTTGGTCGACCGCTGAAATTATTGATCCTCCTCGTCTAGAGTCATTTGGATGTCGACTTTATAGTTAAATAAATAATAAATAAAGTACAGAATGTTTTTGAGGCTAATGTATGCCTCCATTCTG